GCCCCCCGCCAAAAAGGGGCACACACAACAACCCCTTTTGTTTCTTCCCCCCTTTTGGGGCGCCCCCAACACATTTTAAATATATATATTTGGGAACCTTTTTTTTTCAGGGGGGAAGGGGGCTTTTTCAGCGAAAAGAAACCCATTCCCGGGGGAATTAAATTCCATCCCGGGCCGCCCCGATCCACTTTTTCCAAACCTCTTTTGCCAAAGAACATCCCCCCCCCCCCCCCCCCCCCCCCGCGCGCGCCCCCGGCTCCGCCGCCGGGACAACTATCTATCTATGATAAGATGCTGTGCTAGCATACGTGTGAGAACCCCAATCAACCGACCCTCCCTGATGACTGACGACGGGGACGATAATAATAATAATAATGACTGCATGCTAGCTATATGCAGTGAGTCTCGTCGAGGCCAGACGAAAAAAATCGAGAAAATTGACGGCGTTCAGGCGGCAATCACCACTCGGCGTACTCTTCTTCTGTGTGAGGTGATACGGTTAGTAGTCTGCCTGCGCAGCGACGACCTCTACTACCGTACGTACTTAATTCTCACTAGGAATGGCGTGTTCAAGCTAATGTTCTCTCAAGATCATGTTGGTTCGCCGTGCTGCGTACAAGCCAGCCGCGCGTGCTTGTTGTTTACTACCCGGTCCCGCCCCCAGCCCTCGCCCCCCGACTTTTTTTAAGCACACTGAATATGACAGCGAGCCCCCAGATTACCTCAGAGTGCGCTAAAAATATAAATATTATGCGAGATGACGGCGGGGCCACCACTAGTCGCATCCCCCCCCCCCACCTTTGGTCCCTCCCATCGCGACATAAAACCGTCTGCGTTGTTACTCTGTACCCGGTACTCCTCCTCTGTTTACTTTCGATGGATTGACTCAGCAGCAACCAACAATCTCCACTAAACATCGAGCGCCAAAACAATGTATCCACAATTTACTCGCCGGCGCAGCAACATATTATAATATCAAATGATGACCATTTCTTCAGAATTTCAATCAGACCACGTAAGCATAGTAAAGTATAGTATGGATGGATGCTCTTCCCGCCTGTCTGTCTGTCTGTCGGTTAGTCGATAGACAGACGACCTCAAATAACGCTATTATTAGTCTATGCCTTGCGGAAGCAAACGGCATACAAATACAAGTACATGGTACATCCCACCCCTCCTCTTTACTTCTTCTACAGAATTATTAGGGTACACGTGTCTCACAGAGTAGTACTCAAACGAAGGTCAAGCGCATGGATGGGTGGGTTGCTTGTTTCACCTCCTTGACGGGAGCGATGGAACGCTTGCGTTCAAGTTACACACAACAAAACTGGTTAAAGGGCGGTCCATTTTACACACTACATGCATACATCGTCTACTAAACATACATGTACAGACGTACGTTTGCTTTTCTCTCGGAGGTGTCTGCGGCGAAGCCTCCTGCACCTCGGATTCTCTCACTCGTCCTGTTCACCCAAGCCGCGCTCCAAGCGATTCGCTTGAGAAACCCCCGGTGGATAAAGAACAGAGACCATCCGTAATCTGGATGGAGTGGGGTGCGCGCGGTTAACGAAAAAATACAAAAACAACAGGAAGGAGGCGCAGTAGTAGTAAGTAAGCAAGCGACACGAGAGCACGTTCCGTCGAACCTTCTTAGCCTTCCCGGGGTCGTCTATCGTCAAGTGCTGGGTCTTGCCTCTCTCTCTGGTTCATTTCAACGGCGATGCCGCTCACGGCCACGAAATTCGCGAGCTCGCGGTACGCACGCACACACACACACACACACACAAGTTTCTCCCCTGGAGGTAGAACCCTTACCCTTTGATAAGAGAGTGTTCGTGTTGTATACCCCGCACTTAGACTGTCGTCTTTTCATTTGTCAGTCGGTTGGCGTGGTCGATTCCAAGTAACAAAACACACACACACGCACGCACCTGTTCGCAGCCGTCGGTGGTTCGCCGCCGTGCCCGCCTACGATTCGGCAGTCGAAGCACCACCACCGCCAGCAAGAGCGGCAAGTGGAGAAGGGGGAGCAGGAGGGGCAGGAGGAGATGAGCTAGGGCCCAGGGGCGGGCTCTGGGGCGCCTGGTGCAGCAGGTAGCTCATGAATCCCGTGCGGCGAGGTTCGGCGTCTTGCGACGTGCTGCTTACAGGAGCAGGAGCAGGAGCAGCAGCGGCAGGAGCAGCGGCAGTAGCAGCAGCAGCAGCAGCCACCGCCGCCGCCGCCGCCACCGTCGACCCCGTTGACACGCCCCCGCTCTTCTTGTTGTCCGGCGGCCTCGATGCGTCGTCACCGGCGCTCCGAGGGGCGCCGGTGCCGGCGGCCTCGTGGCTATCGTCCACCTTGGAGAAGGCGTGGAAACCGCGGCTACCCGGCCCATGCTGCGGCGGGGAGAAGGAAGTGTCGATGGGACACCCATAGAGCTGCTGCGGCGGCGGAGGCGGCGGCGGTGGACCCGGGTACCATCCACTGGCGGCCCAGTTGAGGTGGTGGAAGCTGGGGTGGTGGTGGTGGTGCAGGAGCGGGTGGTGCAGCAGGTACGGGTGGTGGGAGTGGCGAGGAAGCAGCGGCTGCGGGGGTGGCGGCGGTTGGGGCGGAGACGCCGAGGGCGGCCCGCGAGGCGGAGACTCCAGGCTCAATTTCAGGTCGAAGCTGTCCAGGGTGGCGGTGGTCGTGGGGGAGTCAGAGCCAGCGTCCGAGAGATGTTGCTGTGAGGAGCTCGATCGCAAGCTTAATGCGCCCCCGCGCCACTCTCCGTAGCTGCCCTTTGCCCTCTTGCCGCCGCCGCCGCCGATCCACGCTGGCGCCCGCGCAGCCTGGTGCACGTGTGATGAGGCATATTCCCCAGCTGTCGCCTGGGCAGAAACGGGTGTCTGTCCGGAAGACCCCCCAACGCTCCTCAGTCGCGTGAACGCCGTTGGGTCACCGCCTCTGCTCGACGTCTTCGAAGAAGTTGTGTGGTGTAGGCCAACCCCGAACACACCGGAGTAGCTGGTCATCGGTGCCCTGCTGTGCGGCGGCCTGCCGATCGAGAAGACCGGGGAGGTAGGATCCACCGGCGAGCAGGCCGCCGTCGGGTTAGCGCTGCTGCCACCGGAAGGACTGTTCAAAGAAGAGCCATCGGATAGCACCGAGACAGGTGAAGCTGCCGCTGCCACTGCCGCTGCTGCTGCTGCTGCTGCTGTCGCCGCCGTGCCCTTCTTTGGCGGGAATGACGCGCGGCGGCCGGCGGATGACATGGACCGTGCCGCCGCTGCCGTCACCCCTTTCCGGCCCTTCGCCGTCATCGGCGCGTCCCCCTTTGTTTTCTTCGCTGCCTCCGCAGGGCGCCCGGCTTTCATGCATAGCTTCCCGCCGCTCCCCAGGCTCCCCGACGTCGGTTTGTTGCCTGCCGTCTTGTTGCCCGGCTCAACGCCCGGTCTCGGCGTGGCGGCGCTCTTCGAGCGGCCGCCGGGCTCGAAAGCTGGCGGAGGTGAGGCCACCGACTTGGCGACGGCCGGCGGCTTGGAGCAGAACGCGGGGGTCGCGGCGAACACGGCGCGAATGCGGGTTGTTTTCTTTGCTGCGGCAGGCGGCGGCGGCGAGGGCGGCTTGGCACGTGGGCCGTAGCTCTCCACGTCGTCGTCATCGTCGCTGTCGCTGTTGCTGTCGCTGTTGTCACCAGCGGCCGAATCCGACTCAGCTCCAGAGCCCTTGTGGTCGGCGTCTTGCCTGAACTGCACTTTCTCGACCGCCTTGGCCACATCGGTGCTCGAGAGCAGCATGTCCTCGTCGATGTCGCCCGGACGGCAGGTGAAGATGGAATTGAGGACGCTGGCATCGAGGCCGGCGCTGGCGGTCTTGATGATAACCTTGCGCCGCTTTCTAGCCTGCGTGAGCTTCCTCACCAGCGATGGCGCGTCCTTCCCGCCGTCCCTACGCGTCTTGATCTTGTCCTCCAGCTTTGACGTCGTCTTGTCCAGGCTGCTCACCTGCCGGTGTGGCCAACGCTTGACACCGTACGCCCTGCACAGCTTCTTGAGCATGGTGAGGCTCACGTTCAGCTGCTGTGCTGCGACGTTGAGAGGAACGTGGTAAAAGCATTCCAAGACTTCCAGGGGCAGCCTTGCGGCTACGTCCTCGGATGTCTGCCTCTTGAGAGAGCCGCCTCGGCGGAGGAAGGCGCTCGACACACTGGCCGTGCGTACCCCGGAGCTCCCGCTGCTAGTCTTTGCCGCACGGGTCGCGGTGGTGGCAGCGGCCCCGCGCCGCCTGCCCCTTCCCTTCTTCGCCTTCCCCTCTCTTGGCGTACATGTAGGGGGCTCATACTCGCTCTGGCTGCTGTCCGCGTACTCGTCGCTCTCGGACTTCGTCTCGTGCTTCGACCGCTTTTGCTTCTGCTGTTGCGTGCCTCTCTTGCACCTGGTACGCCGCTCGGCGGCCTTAGTCTCCAAACCTCCCCCCTCCTCTTGCGTGCACTGAGAGTGGGTGGTACCTTGCAGGACTCCGTCGGAAGCACCACGGGAGCGGCGACACTCCTGCTTGACCACCACTGAGCGAGTCGGGTGTTCGATCGGGGAAGCACCGACTCTCCCGGCGACCCCCAAGTGTCCCTCTGCGCCGGTGCCGCCGGTGCCGCCGACGCCAGCACCACCATCGCGGGCACCGGCCATGCATCCGAAAGCACGCTCGTCACCGGCCGGATCGTCTAAGGAGTGCTCGGCCGCTTCCAGCTGACGGTTCAAGTATTCTTCCATCGCGGTGGAGAAGGTCGGTAGCCCCCCTTCCAGATCAAACACGTTCCCTTCCAAGAAATCACGGTTGCTGTCTCTTCCGCTCATGCTTGCAGACCTCAGGACGTCGCGGGCGCTACTCGCCCTACGCAGGATGTTGCTGGCACTCCCTGTCCCGTCGACGATCGCTGGCACCACCATTTCTTCCTTGGCAACGGCCGGCTGAAGGGGATCACTGCGAGGACCGCCATGAGTGCCGCCCCTTTCGATGGAATATCGATCGGGTCCTCCCCCATCAGTAGAGGAGCGTGTGTCGGTTGGCTTCGTGTCTAGCCCGGGGCCCGACGTTTCTCTCGGCGCCGTTTCTGGCAGATCGCTGGGTCCAATGCCCTCCATGGTGAAGAAATTCAGGTCGTTGAACGTGGCATCATCGAACCTTTGAACGGCATCTTCGCCCTCCCCGTCGACGCTTGGAAGGCCGAAGCCGAAGAAGTTGCTGCCCGTGCCGGATCCCCAGCTGGAGTTGTGCGACATGCGGAAGACGTCGCTGGCGAGAGTAAACGACGAAACGCTTCGCGGGCCTGGAGCCGGTATGCCCTCCAAGGTGGTCGTGGGCGTCGGCCCTCCCCCCTCATGGCTACCGGCTCCGTCACGACTGCCATCACTAGGAACTCGATTACGAAACCTCTTAGACCTCGCGAGCTCGTCGTCCGAAAGCTTGAAGCTAGGGATTCCGCGCTGCAGCCGGGAACTGCTTGCCAACGAAGGAGCTTGACTCCTCGAGTCTTGAAGACCACCGCTAGGCTGTGCCATCTTGGCACGAGTTCGTTGGGGTGGTAGGGGGGGGGGTGTTAGAGGCGCTGCTTGCTGTGGTGTCCTCGCACAGGGGTGAAGAGTAGAGAAAGAGAGAGAGAGAGGTGCGGAGCACAGCAGTGCGTCGACGCGGAATACAAAAAGACGAACCGGCACGTGAACAAGTTTTACGGTTTCGTTGCGGCAAGAATCTGATTGGCCAGACAGAGCGGAACAACTTGGTTGGGCGGAACAGCGGAACATGTGTTGTCATTTTCAAATTCGCTGCATCGCACCACATCATCACACCCTCAAATCAAAAGATGGGCGGTGGCACGTGCCGACGTTGCTTGTTGGTCTTTCGCGTCCGATCACCCTTGAAATCCTCCACCTACATAAAAACGAAAAAACTTGCCGCTGTTGCTTTCGCGGCCAGAAGCCAGAAGCCAGAAGGATGGAATGGCCCAGGTTCCGTTTCGACGATTTTTTCTTTACGCACCAGAACAAAAGACCAAGTGTATTCCTGTAGACACGCAACTGCTATCTCCACCTATAAGCCATGAGGACCCACCACAGGGTGGTGGAAAATCGCAGGGTTGGGTGGTCGCGGAGCAGCTGGCAAAGCGAACTAGGCTTGCTTCGAGACAATGAAATGACCAATCCAATGAACCAGACAACTCTTTTTTTCAGTCTAATCTCTTTTCAGTTCTGTTCCAAGGATCAGTTGATGATCCAAGGATCGTTGATGATCAGTGAAGGTGGACTTGACCCCGACCTCCGTATTGTATGCATAGACTACTACGTAGGCGATTTTGTGCTGCCTAGAGGACAACATTGTGTGCGTGGTGACACACGTTGGCAGATTCACAGCATCCCTGGCATCGTGTACAAAGCGAAGAGACGCAAAAATGCATGAAGGACAAAACAAGTTGTAGCAGCATGCGATGCTGATGCATGGTAGATGACAAGACACGTTGCAACGTTTAATAAGGTACACACTGGTGTAGACTGTTGGCCCTGCCCTCCAGGTTCCAAAAAAGAGTTATGGTTGAAAAGCGCAGATGAGGATAAGACTATTGATGGTTGGGAACAAACACATTCAACGGGCTTCAGAAAACGGACTCCAGAAAACACACCCTTACACATAATAGTCTCGAGCCGAAAAAACTGTCTCTCTCGGCCATGAGCACATATTGTCTCAAGTGTCTGCATGCAGCTATCGGAGGATTCTCGATTCCCCGCCGGAGTGGTGCTTCCTGGACTTTTTACAAGTCAAGTCGTTTGTGCAGCCCCCTTATGTTCCCTCCTGCGGTCTCTATTGCTACATGTACGCTCACTCTGTTGACTGGCGGGGCAGTGACAGCAGTGACTGGCATTACGGAATTCTCGTACCCCTTGCTCATCAGATGCCGTACAATGACGCATCATTCCCCATTCGTACTATGCGGGCACTGTGTACGAGTATGAATCACGACAACCAGTTCACGTTTATCGCGACCCCCCCCTCCCCTTCCCCTCTCTCTCACTCCCACACTCCCACACACACCTCTCTCTCACACACTCTCTCCCTCTCTCCCACGCACACTTTGTCTCTCCTTCTCTCTCTCCCACACCTTCTCGCGCCGAAACAGACATTTACAGCCAAAACACCCCACCGCCAATCGCAACCGAAGAGACCGCCGCCACCAACGGCGATGAAACATGGATAGACAAAATACGACATCATGGGGTGGCGGGGGCGGACGTCGAAACTCGCCGTCGTTGAGTCAGCCCTCCCTATGCATATTTAATATTGCCGCATCTGCCGCTTGTGTCAAGCTTTAGCGTTGCCTGCTCAAGTGCCCTTTTCGACACCCCACGTGGGCGCGGACACCCCCTTGCTGTTGAAGCTCTTCATGGACAGAAAGCCCACCCTGGCGAAGCCGCCCTTGGCATTCAGCGCGTGGTTCTCCCAAAAGGCGGGGGCGGTCCCCGGTTTGACACCGTGCACCTCGTGAAAGAGCTCGTACCTGGTCTCGGAAACGACGGGGAGAGGGGTCGGGGTGAGGAAGGTGGGAGGGGGGGGGGGTACTCATGTAAACTCATGCCATGGTCATTAGACCATAGACCTCGCATCCCTGCAACACCGGAACGGAGCGATACGCCGAGTTCTCGCCGGCCCAGGCTACGTTTCACATGGATGAATCAGATTATGGTCATGATGGGGGGGGGGCGTACTCATTTGTTGCTTGCCGTAGTCATTTGACCATTGACCACGCGTCCCTTTCGAGACGGAGCACCGTTCCTACACCTACTAGAGACACCACCAACATTTGGGAGCTCTTTACGTTTCTGCCACAAACTCCATAAAAATTTCTTGCACATCTTATCCCCGTCCTCTAGGGCCTCTTGTGCCCACCATCTATCCCCAATTATCGCGATCGTTTTTTCGCTGTTGTCTAATTTACCAAACTTGTCCATGTCACACCCTCTCTGTCTCATTTCCTCCTCGAGATCCTCTCTTTCCTTCCTGTACAACTCACACTCCCCAACTATGTGGGGTCTACTCTCCTCCGATTTGCCACATGGACATGTGTGTCTATCCTCCTCTTCCTCTCTCCTACGGCTGGTATACCTCTTCCTCCGTTCTGGCAAGTCCAGATCGCCTACTCGAAATTGCAATTTCAGCTTTTTCGCATAGTCCATGGGGCCGTCCAAGTACTTCTTCATCCCTATCCCTTCTTTCAACTTCCCGTATATCTCCAAGTGGTCTTCGCTTCGTACCTTCTTGCGAAGGGTTGTCTCATGATGGGGGGGGGGGGATCAACAAGGTAGCCATTTCTTCATATCCACGGGCATCCGACACCTCTAGGGATGCTAACGTTAAAGCAAGCCAAACCAGCATCCCCCTGTGGCCGTGCAGCAGAATGAACACAAGCAAGGCGTATATCTCTACCGCGTGTGCTCCATGAACAGAGATGAAACTAACCGACCGCATGATGAGGTCGGTTGTGTGTTCCTACGAGGGGGGGTACTTCCGCGACAACCTGCATCATGAGTGTCTCTGAGGAAAAACCCAGGTGTGCCCTCGGTAGGAAAAGTGTGCGTTCTGTCCTCGACTTGAGTTTTTGGTGGGCAACGCATTTCTTCCATGCGCGGCTGCCCCTTGGAAAACAAACCGAAGTACTCTGCATCCTCGACACACCCAACATCTCTACCAAACTACCACGTTGCAACCCTGCCGACGCGTTCTACTTGCTGCTATTTCTTTTGTTTGTTGGCCTCAAACAATTAAACGTACGCGCTGACCTCTGGCCACCCACGAGGTCACCTCGTCAAGATGTAGAGAGAACAATCTCCGTCGGTATAGTACAGCACCCTCGAGCAAACACCTCTCGAACAACCACACGCCTTTGGTGTAGAAACACTCTTCAAGACTACTCCCCGGTACGTCTGTATACCCGTCGCCACCCACCCACCCACCCGTTGAAAAGGAGCCCTTCCCCGGAGGCTAGCTCCAGCCTAATGTCCGGGCGGCCCTGAGACACACCCAGGTCGAACGGGATCGTGTTGCCGATGGAGACGATCAGCGTCCACTCTTTTCGTTTCATCGCCCCAGTTTGGTGGTGTTTGTTCGTGTGTTCGATTTTTGTCGCACGCCCGCGGCGGGGAGAAACAGGCCAATCGTCAAGACCAGAAGCAGAGACCGGGGGGGGGGGGGGGGGGGGGGGGGAAAAAAAAAATCCCATTTTTGGGAAACCAACCGCCGGAACCCCGGGGCCCCAAAAAGGGAACCAACCCCCCCAAAAATTTTCCCCCCCCCCTTTTTGGAAAAAAAAACAAACCACCCAAAAAATCCTTTCAAACCCTTTGAAAATTTTTGGGGCCCCCCCCCTTTGTTTTAGGGGGCCGCCCTTTTTAAACTTTTGGGGGCTGTTTTTAGCCCCAAAAAGGGTTTTTTGGCGGAACAAAAAAAGGAAAAGCTAAAAACCTTTTTTAAATCTCCCCCCTACCCCCCGGGTGGCCGGAATTTTCAACTTTGTTTTCCAAAACCCAAAAATGTGACCCAACAACGGGTTTTCCCAGGAAAATTTGCCCCCTACCCACCCCCCCCCCCCCTTTGGGTCGAAACGGTTAAAACTTTTCGGGGGCCCCCAAAGTTTTCCGGGAACCCCCCCCAAAATTTCTTTTTTTTTTTTTTTGGGGGGGACCAACAAAACC